ACGAGTCGATACTGCATCTGGTGAGTACAGTACCGCACAATCCAAATCCAATCCACAGCTGAAGATTGAACCAGAAAACACGGGAACGCGAATCACCGATGAGAGCACTGGAACTACAGCAGGCGCCAGCACAAATGGCACCGCAATAGACAGTGATAACACTGATATGTCCGCATCGCTCACACTGCGCATCAATAATAATGGTAGTAATTCGATTATTGGTTATAAATATGAAAGTGGCAAGAAAATGGAAAGGATTGTCGAGGAAGAAGAGAAACAGAAGTCAACTGAATGGGACCAGAAACGTGGCGACCAAGAATTTTACAACGGCTATAGTACCATGAATGCACGTGATCCGATGGTACGAGTGCAATCAGCGACGCCAACACGCAACAACTCAGTGTTTACAAACAGCTCATACGCGAACGGTACCGACAGCTTGCAAAGGTAACTGAAGTCGCTTCACCCAACAAAATTTGTATGTAACTGTAGTCACAACTTAAACTTCCACGGTGCGTTTGGTGTTTTGGCAACAAAGTGGCGCTACTCTGAGCGTCAAATCAATAGTAAGTCAGACAGTCAGATAGCCAATATCTCTACGATTTGTTCCAGTGGCAAGCTTTTATGATTTTGTAAAACAACCAGAAATACATCGGTATGCCCGGACACTCGGTGCAGTTGATCTAACGCGTAATGCAGGCGTAACAAAAATGCAGGCATATGTAATTAACGCGTAATGCAGGCATACGAGTCCCCGCAAAACTTCAGTTATTCTTTTTTAGCGATTCTCGAGCTAGGCATATTGTCCGTATAAGTAACGAAGGCGAATTTACAGCTAATTTGAAATCTTTTGCTCACACATGGACAGGGACACATTCCTGCAAAGTTTTAGCTTCTTACGCTGGATGATTTTCTAAAAATCGCTTTCTGCCAAAAAATTTACATATCTTCTTTTCGACGTCTGTACACGACATCCAAGCGTACGTGGATGATAATTTCAAAACGAGTGGGTCCCACGTGCAATGGGAACCCCTATAAAAGTTTCAGTTTCTAAGCTTTTCTGGTTCTTGAGTTGGAGATGGGTGGAATAATTCACGCACGCATACGCAACACACATACATACACATACGTATAGGCATACACATACAAAAACGCGCACAATTTTTGTATAGCAAAAACGCATTAAAATGAGAGTAAGGCAATTGGGCAGACAAAAAAAAAAGCGAATCTTCAAAAGAAATTCGACAAATTTCTTGAGGGGAAGTGACAAAATTACCAATATTAAAGAAGTTCGACAAAATTACTTGTGACACAAAAATGGCTGCGTCTTGGTAGTTTTTCGTCGGGCCGTTTTTGAAATCGTTACGAGGAAGATGCTTTATACACAGACATTTGGTTCAAACGTTTTCGAACAGTGTAGGTGTCGATGATCGGCCGATTTGTAACACTAAAAAAAACACTCCGAAATTTGACACATTTATTTAAAACGCAGATTTCTTCCCAACTGTTTTGTTCATCCCTTTCTCTCTCTCTCTGTCACTCTCACTCCCCGAAGTCCCTTCCTCTTGCATCCGTTCATCCATTCTGTTAAGGAACAATCTCAAATGACTTTACCCGGCTTAAATAATTCCGCTGATTCTACTGATTATTCTGACGACTGGTTGATGAGGTGAACATCATCTCTTTTAGTATTTTTTTTAATTCGTTTCCCCTACCCCTCCCCCTTTCTCCTTTGGATAAACAATCAGCAAACAGTGCCATCGCTATCACTGTTTTAAAAGAAGGGCAAAAATAGGCTCCATAGAGTATGCGATGCTGCGAAACAAGTCCTAATGGAGAGTGAGCACGCAGCCGTATTTTCAAACAGGTTGCGAGATGGAAATATTCCTGCCAAGATAAAATATCTGGTTTGTACAAACTTCTGATAGTGTATGGTGCACCGTCCGAATTAAGACAAAATTATTACCCCAGAATCCAATACGTAGGTGGGTGGTTTATAACGCGATGAGTTATAGAGGATTATTTTTACTATATTACTGGGAGTGTTGAGCAGTTGCTGTGCTGCGAATTACATATATTCATTTTTTTGTAAAGAGGAAAGTAAGAAAAAAGTTTAAATGCACTGACATATATCATCTACGTTAAATAGTAGTATTTAGAATGAAATACTATTTAATACTATTGATGATCTAAATAAAGACTATTAATCAAAACAGAAATATTTACAGCGCTTATATGAACGACCAATAAAATCAATGCAGTGACAATTGTAATAGTAAAAATATATAGTATACTAGTTAAAACAGTACAGTAGTATTAAGAAAGAAATGAGGTAAGTACCTGACAATGAATGCTTCTGAGGTAAAAGAAATGAGGTAAATGAATGTCCGTTAAGTAGTACACATTTCTCCTCATTACCACATCCGGACTTCGTTAGTATGACGGTTGTAGTAATATGTAAAAACAATAAATGTAAATGAAGACTGATATTTAACGGCATTACTAGTGAGTATTAAAAGTAAAAAAGAAAAAAACGTGATAAAGTAAAACGTATAATGTAAATCTTATCTGGAACACTGTCTGAAACAAAAATCCATGCTTGCTGCTCAAACATCGCCAGCCCTACAAGTAAATTAATATGTAATATATAAGACAGGAGTTACTAGAGTAAAGACAAAAACTCCTCTGGAGTTAACGAACCGAAACACTTTTCAATGTAATTTTATATTTTTTTACAGCTAGATTGTGTTAAAGTGTGAAATAAAGTAACACTGAAAAGAAAAACAATAAGATCAAGTAGTATTAATGTTATGTAACGAAATAACTATAATAAAACAGTAACAGTATATGAATGGGGACATAAAATAGTGATAGTATATGAGCATTTACCATATGAAATTAATGATTTTAATTTAGTAACAGAATGATACAGCGAAGAATGAGACCCAAACGAAAACAGCCCAAACATTAATATTTGTAACAAAAATTATAACTATAATAATAATACAGAAGCGCACACGAGTAATAAATAAAACGAATGTTTAACAAATCAGGAACAAATGTCTAATAAGGGAATTAATATTACAGTTGTAAGGGAAAAAATACTTGGAACAGGTAAATCTATAACGCGAAAAAAATTTTTGCGGCTACTAGTGTCGTAGCGTAATAAAACTGTAAAAACAATCTGCATAACCAGCATTTTGTAAGAGGAAAAGACAAGACTCTTCCTTTTTAACAGTGAATGAAGTTGTTAATTTCATACTTTTTCAGGATTTCATCACGTAACGAAATTTCAGCACAGAAGTTTATAGAAGAAATTCCTCCAGTGCAAGTCCTTCAACTTGTCCTCAAGCAGTTCACCTTTAAAGAGGTAAAAGACAACCGTTTTTTGAAAAAAAACGTTTTCATATTTGCTTTATAACAATAATGTTCTTCTTCCCAAAATACGAATCGGATTCTGCGAAGAAATTTACGTGTGCAGTTACTTGTTGCAAAGGTATTGTGATGTGCATGGTAAATGTTAGTAATATTTTATGGCAAATACACAGGGGCAATATTAGAAGACAGACATAAGAATTACAGGTAGTGAATAGAATGAACATTGGTGCAAAATCAGTGAAATTTTGAGCTTCCTTCTGGCTCTCGAAATAATTTTTCGCGAGGTCGTACGTGAGTGGAGGACATCAGCTTCCCAACTTTCGCGGTACCCGAGACAATAATTTTCCCCGCCGAAACTTTCACGGAGTCGTAAATGATACTGGGGCGTGCGAGAAGGCTGAATTTAAACTTGCGGGATTGTATGGCCCTAAAATTACGTAAAATTTCAGCTTAATAATTTACTCTACGAGATATAATTTACCCTACGGGACCATACGTGCTACCTGCGGATAAGGGAATGCCGAATTTAAACTTGCAGGGTAACGCCTTGGTGGGGAACATTACTATAAATTTTAAGCTTCCTAGCTTTTGTGATTCCCGAGTTGAAAGTTGCGGACAAGTTGCTGCGGACACACACATATATATACACATAGACAACCCCATGACAATACGCTTTTGTACTGCTATTACACAGCACAAAAAGCGTAAAAAGAAAAGCGTATGGTGCCTGTGTCAGATATTCACCCCCTCCCACATCCCCTCGCCCTTACAAGGATCGGTAGTGCAGTGGCCTAACACATAGCACCTTGACGTGAAGACGAGTTTTTCAATTCCCCCAGTCCGTACTCAGTCACAAAAGGGGACTCTGTTCACAACATATTTTAGATAGGCGAATTGCGACAAGTTCATCCGCACTGGGATGAGCTGTGCGGACAGAAGCTCAACAGTGCATACTACGAGTTGACCAAAAAAGCGGACAAGCTACTGACCGACTGCCAACGACGTGTACATTCTGAGCCCCGTCTCCACGACGCTCTGGCAATCCTGACCAGTGTACAGGTGCATATACTAAATCCTGTAGATGTACTGCGCGCGGCAATGGATGAAGGTTTGTGATTATTTCTCAAACACTCTAGTGCAACTTATCAAGCGTTTTTGAAGGAACTATCCTGAGGCGGGTACTTTGGAAAAAGTTTGTTTTTCC